GTTATTGATTTCCTTATCACGTGAGAGGATAAGCATTTCCTGGAAAAGTTTATAATCTTTAGGAGCTGTTTCTTTATACAAAATTGCCGTTCAAATATACCATTCAATGAAAGATCTGGAATTCCTTAGGGATTGGTAAACCCTTACATTGTATACATGAAAATGGTTTCGATATCCTGTACCTTTGCCACATCTTCAAATTAAACTGAAAATGTAGTCAGAATTCAACATTGTGTCCCGTATTTTGTTCTAATTGTTGAACAGACACTCCTTACCTTCCCTGACACTAGTACTGGAGCTGGATAGTAAACCAAAAAAACTTGTATCCATTATGAAGGATACACTCAGACTGAGCTATTGAGAATAAAGACAAACTTACCTGGTTCTGATTAGTACTCACTAAGACAGGTAAATGTAAATTATCTGCATTGTAGGGTAGGTAAAATTAATGTCCAGGTGAACATTTTTTACTCAATTTTTCTGTTTTGTTCGAGTTGGGAAGCATGCAGTAAGCCAGTTATTGCATGATTTCTCGTCACTCGGGACTTATTACACCCGAGCGAAGCGAGGGTGTAATAAATCCCTTGTTACTCGAAAACCATGCAATAACCTTATCTTGTTCTTCTGTGACGTCAAGTTTACCTGCCTTTTGTCTACTTTTCAATGAAGACAAACTGATGGGTTGTTCTTCGGTGACAAAATCAGTGACGTAGATAGAAGGTAGGGTATTGTTTTCCTTACTTTAGGTAGATAGATAATGGGTTTATATTTTCCAACTTAAGATAGAGATTGTGTACATATATTCCCACTATGTAAATATAGCTAGGGTACATATATTTCCACTTTAAGTAGATAGATGTAGGGTACATGATGTCTTCCCACGAAAACGCTACTTGACCGTAATATATATGTTTATAGTTAGCAGGACTGACGTATGAATACACTAACATCAGAACGTAGAATACGACCGACGCGTAGGAAAATCTCCAGGGCGACATGAAGGTGTAAAATGTCTGCCTTCCGGGACGCTTATCCCAACATGATATCACGTGATTTTGTGAACTGTTAGTGGCGATACAACTTAATCATGATAAAATAATCGTTATATTGCTCTATGCTTTGAACTGTGTCGCCGACCGTATCAATTTAAGTGTCATAAACTTTATACGACCATCACAGAAAATGTACGCCTGTTTGTCTCAAGTGCCCATTTCTGGTGTTTTCAGTACAAATATAACGATTACGTCAAGTGCCTACGTTGCTTTGAAATTCACGGAAACGTTGCCTGTTTATACAAATCGCTATGTAATACTGCACTACCGATCAAGGAACGTATAGAATTGCAAATGTTTGAACTCTTTGGAATATCGATCAGAACAGTTGGTACATTTGTATCACAACCAGCTTACATGTTAATGCCGTAAGATTGTACCTTAGAATGGTATTCATTTCTGTAGTACTAATTCTCAAAATGAAAAGCCGCGATGGTTAAATGGTGTAGGTATCTCTTTTGTACCACATATATTCATCAATAGCATTGGCAATTAAAAAGAACTAGTATCTCTTTTGTACCATTTCTCTTCGTTAATAACATTAGAGGTTAAAAGAAGTGAATCATGCAAAATC